TTGACTACTAAGGCACACAAAAGCATATGTTACACTTATTACTAAAACATAAAAAATAAAACATAATTTTATCTTAACAGTATAACTTAATATTAACAGGATACGATAATGGTGTGTGCTGCTAGTAGAATAGGATCTTACTCAGTATATACCAGGCCCTATGTTGACCTGAGACTGATTTTCAGTAAGTCCTATTACATATACATAAAAAAAGTTTTAACGATCTAAATAAAATAAACTTTCGTCACAATTATTATTGTTTTGATCCCTCAGTCGGCTAAAAAGTTGACCGAATTTATGGACTTTAGGAATTTATTGAATTTTTTGGACTATATTTATAATTCATTATACACTGAGTGACTTTAGAAAATTAAGAGCAAGTAGTAATAGTAACGTTGTCATAAAAGGTCCGCCCCTTTTTAATTCCTGATGAGTATTGTAAAAGTAAAAAAGGATGTGTAAAAATGTATATTAATACTGGGGTAAATACTGTCTATAGTTTACGCGAGTAGTACACATTTAAATAAAACGGATGCTTTGCAGCAGCCGTGGCCACGGGGAGAACCGTGGTCTCCGTGACGAACCGTGGTCTATTTGATAATGATTTTTAAATCGTTAAAGAGAGTAAAAATAAGTCCAAAGTGTTAATTTTAAAGAAATTATATTTACGAGGTACGACAACACTTTAACGGTTTAAAACGCAAAGCAGCCGAAATGTCGGACCGAAGTTAAAAATCATTTTCTAATAAGTTTAACTAATATATCGCGTTTTAAACCGTTAAAGTGTTTTATTTAAATACTGGGGTATTTCACCTTAAATCAACTGAACCCCGTGCTTGCCTGTTCTTTCCTATTCTCAAAAAATATACTACTCTTAGGCTACGTTGTTCGAATGAAAGAGGGGAAACTACCGCAGAGACTCCTAGATGGCAGGATCGTCGATAGAAACATGGTTGGCCAAAATTTTATTAGATAACAGACGAGCAGGACCTTAGAACTTTAAAGTCTGATTTGGAGGTCCATGTTAAACCAGGCCATAGCGCAAGGGCCACATAGATAGATATAATGTCTTCTGCGAAACTATCTCGTTCCATAAGATACTCATTTAACCATTAACTTAACAGTCTTTCCACTAATTACTTAAACGCTGTTTCCAAGATTTTAACGGATAGAAAAGGGCTTGTTCAGTTCATAATTATAATAATTGAATTCATGGCCGGCGTAACTTTCAACATAGCTGTACAATGGAGAAAGTTGTCAAATAGATCTATATTTAATAATGATGTAGAAATGTAAACAACAGTATTTTTTTTATTTACTTCAAAAGAAATTATTTGTAAATAGTGTTAGTTGTTAATACTGTATAAATAAAGAAATATTTTTTTATTATTTTATTTTTGGAGTTGAGAGTTGTTAAATTAAAAATCGATTTTAGATTGAAAAATGACACGGGCGGGACTCGAATCGACATCCACATCGTTTCGTGCTGTTGCTCTTATATTTGTCGAGTATTTGTTAGTCAAGACTCCTTATTAATTGTCATTTTTACTTTAGATATTTTAACAATAAAACGAATCATCAGCGTTTCCTGGTTTTAAGAGTCAGCATACTTGCTGTCCTTTTATAAGCCTTGTCAGAGTTAATTGTAGCTAACAGAAGGGTTATTGTTAAATATTGATTTCCTCTATAAATAGATTTTAAAGTTTAATTTGGCTAGCAAATCAATGTACACTAGAAAAGCCTTGGAATCGTATTGAGAGCGAATAATGAAGCTCTCAAGTTGACTTCCTTGAAATACAAAATGAATGGAGCAATCGAGAACGCAAACCCAATCATCGAAAACCAACAGAGGACGGACTTGGCCGTTTCAGATGTGTTTGCCTTGCAGCGTACTCCTGTGTTTGTTTCCGAGCGAGTATGAGCTTAAACTTTTAGCAAGTGTAATGGGACTGTATGTGTTTAAATGACTAATACGCTAGTTTGGTCTAAGACGAAGTTTAAGGAGGATTTGGTTAGCGGTCCTGCTGCTGCATTTGTGGACTTGTAAATGTAATTATTACTAACTAGCTTTGCATTTGGGTTGCGGCTTTTGCATAGAAAACTGAGTACCGTTAATAGTGACCTTGTTAAAATAATTTCTTATTACAAATATACCAATATAAATCGTATCTCAAAGTTTTAATTTATTAAATTAATAATAAAAAACGGTTTAAAACGTGAAATATATTAATTGTTCATTGTTTTGCTATGCCTTTTCTCTGTTTTCGTTAAAAAATGACTTAACCAATATATTATTAACTTAACCGTACTCAATTACTTATTTTTCTCCGTATTCAATTGTTAAAAAAAGTAGTTATTACGTCCAAAACTTGACAAAACTGTGGTGGTGAAGAGCTGGAAGTTGCCGACATAAGATCTCATTGCCATAATGATGGTTTTTGCGTCTAACGTAAATACTAATAGTGGAACCTTCAGAAGAGCGTCCAACTACGCATAAAGTAAGCTTAATAATTAAAGTGGAAGTGTTAAAACGTTTAGATATGCAAACGAAAGTGATTAAAGATCTAAAGGAATTATGGGAAACAACAAGACTTCTTTAATACGCTCTTCTGAAGGTTCCACTATTAGTATTTACGTTAGACGCAAAAACCATCATTATGGCAATGAGATCTTATGTCGGCAACTTCCAGCTCTTCACCACCACAGTTTTGTCAAGTTTTGGACGTAATAACTACTTTTTTTAACAATTGAATACGGAGAAAAATAAGTAATTGAGTACGGTTAAGTTAATAATATATTGGTTAAGTCATTTTTTAACGAGTGTATTTGTAAGTTAGTATTGGAATTGCCATCTAAATATTTGAGGGTAGTCCGTGAGAAAAAATTGCAAGTCAACAAATCTACTGCGCCTACCCACACAGAGAGTGGAAATTTATGCAATAGTATCAAAGTAACAGTTTACATACCTCCTAAAACTAGTGAGAGTCAGTACATGATATGTTTTAGATTAATTGAACAATTACGTGTAATGTATAAACAAGTGACGGCATTAGGAGATTTCAATATAAATTCTAGTTGCGAAAATGTTAAAAATTATTTAGAATTTTTTCTTATCTCATTGCGAATTCGCTCAAGCAAACCGTGTGTCTGTAACAATATACAACTGGACTTGGTGTTGTGTTCGTATTGTTTGTGTGATGGGGCGTCGGTTTGCGAGGTGAACAGCCCGATTTTGCCGGTGGACCCGTATCATCCCCCGCTGAAGGTGAGCCTGCGCATCACGCATAGAGGTAACTGGTTGAATATTAATATACGGCATGATACTTTGACACATAGTACAATACGACCGCGAGTTCAAACAAGTTTTTGAGATATTTGTACTTCAAACAATATGGGATTTACCCATTAGACCCACTTATGTATCCACTGTTCGTCATGGGTATGGTAGGATATAGTGAATTAAGGGTGAGACGAGGATTTTCTTTGGCAACGTACGTAATTCGGATTCTTCGCGAACATAACACCGTTGTTTTCCGCTGGCTTTACTTCAGTGTGCCGGACGGATACGTGGGAAAACGGCATCATCCACCGTTGCTCGTTGTCTTTCGCGCATTCCAACTTGATGGCTAGAGTGCTCACTACACAAACAATACGAGTGGTTAATATTGTACACTAAAGGGTTGACATTTTCACGAGGTATTGGAGTGAAATAGCAAATATTATTCTAAACGTAATTGCTACTAGAAGTAATGAAACTAATTATTAAAAAGTAGTTTTCATATTTTTTCTTATATCGTATATAATATCATTGTATTACTGACGTATTGGACTATATATGTAATGGCATTTATAAAAACAACACTAAACAAACTTATTTTTTAATTATAATTTTAATTATTTACTTTAATTGACGTAATTAAAATTAGTTATATTTTTGGACCTTAACGGAGTGTTTTATTTAAATGTATACAACTCGTGTGAACAGACACAATTTTTACCTAACAAACATTTGCTTATAGAGACACAATTTCATGCAATTACCTAATACAATACCATAGGTATAAAAGACCACATGCATAACGTATATACAGACAATTTCCTACTAAATTGAATTTATTTCGTAACACCATTGCAAAATTACTTAAAAATACACTATTTCAATTATTGCTATAGCTAGTTATTCTTAAATGAATGGAAAAATACCGAGTGAGCATAGATGATAGAAATAAACAGCATCTACAGAGCGCCATTCGAAGAAACGCGAAGGTATCTCGGGCAAGCTAAAATTAGCCGAGTCTCTTTGTATTTTTTAAATTTTCATACGTACATGTGCATTCACATTCATTCTCTTTGAGTAATGGAAAATGTTGACAACAATACGGGATGCATAAAAAGGAAAAGTTTTAAGTGGCTCCGGGGAGGCAGCGCGCAGTGGCCGGCGAAACACTCGTCGCATACAAATCAGCACAGTGGCCCAATTCGAATACAACTTGGAGGAATTAACTTTGATCGCGTTTAAATGTTTGCGGCGACATATTATAACGAAGAACACTTAGTTTACATGCTGTGCATGTTACACCATACAATATCATGCAAGGTGATTTATTTAAAAATTAACCTTACGTGCTTACGAGTTGTTGATACCAGTGTACCAACATGCAGTGAGATACATTCTTCCCAATAATTTTAATTTTTAGTTATAACCTCGTATAAGTTTTCACATGAATATTAAAAAATATTGACAGGCAAGACTTGAAGCTACTACCAACAGTGCACCGTTGGTCTACCAACGGAGCTACTGTGTCTCTCTTATCTTGCAATATTTTTTTTTGATAAATAGGGATACCCAAGCGTACGGTGGTGGACGCGGGCGGATTTTCGATATGCCTACCGCCCAATTAATAAATTGTATTTCAAATATTTATATTAAAGTAAATAAAATATTACGAGCAAAACAAAATGTTATATTAATCTAATGTATAATGTTACAATTCGTGAATTCATTCTTCGCCACTGATGACAATGCTTAAATTTGAAGGTTTCAGCATTTCTTCCTGTTTGCCCAAATAAGGTGAATGGCGAATACCGAAAGATGGGGCGGGGTTTGTACGCTTCGAGTACATAAACTGAAAAAGAATCAATGTGTCAAAGTAGGTAGAGTATATATTTTACACAATTTTGTTGACATCTGTCAGCTGTTTAATTATGCAGTACAGGACTCATAGCTCTTGGTAAGCAACAGCACGAACTACGATGTCATTTTCCCCGAAATTTTCAATTTATTTTGAACGGTTTAAAAAAAAAAAAAAAAAAAAAAAAAGTTTTGGATGTTTGCAGCAGATGTTTTCATTTATATGAACTTAATTGTAATTTATTAAAGTTGAAACCACTACTCATATCACTCAAAATATTTTAACGGTTTTAAACGCGATATATATTAGTTAAACTTATTTGATAAATAACCACCACGTTGACCACAGCTGCTGCCGGGCCGTTGTTAAAATAATTTATAGACAGTATTTAACACTATACATTAATAACACACAGAATAAGTGTTTTGATTTTAACCATTCCATTGCTACCGACATTTACAAAGAACAATGCAGCCTTGTACCTTCTTCTCGCAATATGTGTTCGGCGAAGGCGTCTTTTCGGCCTTTTCGCGTTTGAAGGGTTCACCAAAGGAATATGCGGGCTTAGTTCGCTTCACAAAGTTAAAGTTGGGATCGTGCTCCCCGGGGCCCGGTTGATATTGTGTTGTGAGTTCGCGCGCTGCACAGCCCAGTGTGTACGCTGGTGGTTTTCTATAATGAATGTGTCATTAAAAATTTTAGATGAGGCCTAATAAATAAATGAAATATTTTGCTAAGATAAGATTAAATTAGTTAACTTGACTATACTCGATTAGAGCTCGGATCAAGTCGAAAGGAATGTCATATTGGTTTTTGTCGAATGTCCTAAAGTAGGCAAGACTGGAAGTTATGGTTTTAAACATTTATTAAAGAATATACCTTCATTTATTATTAAGTTAACTAGAACTTTGAGAAAATTTGACAATATTTTTATTATACACTTTTATCGATTAAGATATATTATTTATTATTAAATATTATTATTTATTATTATTGATAAACGATACTATTATTTATTATCGAGTTATGGTGATGTCAACGCGAACGCAGCTGATCGAATAAAATATATACAAAGATAAGCGGCACTAGATGGTGCATTCTCGCATTGCTTACATCATATTATCGTGTTTATTAATTTTGTTGTATTATTTTATTTTTGGGTTATTATATACTCATTTATATGCTATTTTTATAGTGCTTTGTTTATATACCTCAATTGTCCCGGTAATCATCACTTGTGTAATGGAAGATCAATTTGCACCGGAGCAGCGAGGTCAGGTATAAACTTCTAAAGGCTAAGAGAATGTTCTGCTATACCTTTAATACATTAAATAAGACTTTTATTAACTTAAATGGCATCGTTGGGCAGTACATATTGGGCGGTGGAGTCCACATATCCCACGCTTGATATGGTGGCTTCGCAGCAGGTCTCATGGTGTACGCTGGAGGTCTCTTGTAAGCCACTTGGGTCTTTGGTGCATATCTGTCTGGTCCGGGTGCTTTGCCCTTATCTGATATAGGTTCTAGTCTCGGTGAAACGACGCCGTGGCGGATTCTATAGGGACCTGAATTTGTGAACAATTATGCATAATTTTTGATGGTTCAGATTGACTCTCAATAATTTTCTTGTTTCGTAAACGTTTATACAGCAATTTTGGACTGTTATTATATTCACATAGGATATCTTTATATAGATCTAAAAGAACAGCTAAAGCACGAAACGATGTGGTATGGGTTCGCATGACACAAACAATATTGCTTCAATGCCTACAAGAAAATTTAATGTAGGTTTTCTTTATAAGACGTTCAGTACAAAAATTCTTATATCTTACCTTTCTTGCTATGCCCAGATATATCTAAAACGGGAGCTTTGGGTGTTAAGAGTGACTTCTGAAAGTTGACTGGCGTTATATGGCCGAAAGTATAGGCCGGTGCACGTACTATTTTTGAGTACCCGTTACCACCTGTAAACATATCAAATGGATTGTCTACATGCTTTGTTTTTTGTATTTCTTTTTTTCATTTTGAAATAATACCTATAGGGTTCTCGTGCTCCAAAATGCGATGGGGAAAGACTGGTTCAATACCATGGCAGATCTTATTTGGCAGGAAGATTTCTCTTTCGATCAAGCATTACAAAAAAGAATTTACCACTCTTTCGTTTTGGTTTTGTCATTATAAAAAAGCTAATATGTAATAAACGTTTAAATATCTAAAATAATAAAAGGAGGTGTATCTATGTTCCGTTTCACGCATCGGTTTTATTTAGCCAAGTATGTTATAAACTTCTGTGGGATTCGAACCCTGCCCAAACCCAATTTACTATTTTGATTTCACGAAGCACAGTAACGTTATAACGAAATAGTTTGAACCATATCCGCACAGCTTTCCCGGATACATCCATTAATTGAAGTAATACGAAACTCCGTGTGCTTATTAAGCAGTTGTTAATGACAGCTCGGAACAAGTTATTTGCAATAACCCGATCTTTTAGGAACTAGCAAACTCGCAAAGTTGTGCTGTAGACAAGTATTTGAACGGGTACATAAGTTGTAACTCTGTTTTACACCTGTATACATACTTTGAAATGTTAAGATTTTTTCTCGTGATAGAAAAGGATAGACAAGCATGTGTTTCAGTTAATGGAAGGTGAAATACACTAGACATATGACACCTCAACAGGATAGACTGTCGACTTATTTTTCTACTAATCTACAGACTACATCGCTTTTTATCTGTGGATGGTAGTTCGTGACGCGGGCGGAATTTCATTTTTCTACCAACCATTTCCGTTTCCGAAAAAACAAATTTATTAGAAAAATATTGGACCTGATAGCGATCGAACCCCGTCCCGTTTATTATTCTTATCCATACGTTGTTACCATTAAACAAAAAAAAATTGGAGATTTTTATGTTATTACTTTAATTTCTATTTTTAAGAGCTCTTGGTTTAATTGTCACAAAATTAGACTCCATTAGAGGTAGGACCTATATATGTAAGTTAGACCCTGATTGTGAACAAAGATATTTATACGGTGAGGGTGTTACTCGTGAAGGAAAAAAATATATCGACTTATCTACCATCACGCGATGTAGTTAAAAGCCACAATGTTAAATTCTATATATTTAAAAGAGTCCCAGCTGTGGGAATCCCTAATACGTTGATGGTATTGACTGTAATCTCAATAACTTAAAATCTTACAGAATATTTGCGGAGGCTCATATCGTTGTGGCCCAGGGCTTTTCAAATCACTCTCCCCTCTTCGTTCAGTGGGCTTACTAGGCAACTGTTTAACTAACCTTGCTCTACATTCCCAACCCCAAGGCATGGAGTAAGTAATAAAACAGTAACAATTAAATATCACAAACACGTAATATAGTTCATACAAGATTAATTAATTATGGCATATGTCGTATTGACGTAAAAATCAATATGGAAACTTTTTCTTCAATTGCACACCGTAAAATTAAATACTGTCTATAGTTTACGCGAGTAGTACACATTTAAATAAAACACTTTAACGGTTTAAAACGTAATACGTATTTGAAAATAATTTTTAACTAATATATCGCGTTTTAAACCGTTAAAGTGCTTTATTTAAAAGTATACTACTCGCGTAAACTAAAAACAGTATTTAATTGTATTGTGTTTTTGTATTAACGTACTTTATAATGAAAATTACAAACTATCTTCGTTGTGTTAGCTCGCCCTAAGATGTGGCAACAGAATATCAGTATTGGGATATTAGTCCCAACGTAGCTGCGTAGACTCCTTTTCACAAGCAATGATATATATATAATATAATATTTTATTTGTTCTTCTTATATAGTAATATTTATTAAGCTTGTTTCTATTGTTTTAAACAACATTTCAGGTTTCAAACTGTTTTTTTTTACTCTCCGTCGTACTCAGTAGAGTTGTGAATGCGTACCTTTACAGATAATCTAATTAATTAAGCATGCCAAAGGGAATCTCATTTGCCTAAAACTTTGTGATAAAGGGAAAGAACATTTTTAGGCGCACGCCGAGCGTAATCAGTGCTAAGCGCACATGCTGCATAAAACATGACATAAAAAGACGAGGAATAAACGAATCAAGCAAATAAGAAAAAGAGAAATTCCACGGAGCAGGAAATTGAGCTTCACCGGATACCGTCGCACCGGAACGACGTGCGACGGAGGAATGACTTCCGGTCGAGGTGAGCCATCATTTTTCCTCTGTCATTATAACAACATTAGGGATTTTCACAAAGTACCCAGTACGTTGTTTCAAAAGAGGCTCGTCTTTACAATACGCTTTGTACAGCCAGGTGAAGAGATCGCAATTTAATAAGCTAGGTTTTTTTATGTAAGGCAAAATAAACCAGGCATATGGTATCTTTACAAGATGCGCGGTGGGCCTATTTTTGCTTTGGATACGCGACTGCGAAAGTCCACGACTTTTTTATTCACATATCAACACTGATGACGTTTGAAAACTTTAATATTTTTTACATGTAAATATATATATATTTTTAGGAATCAGAAGCGGATTTACTAAAATAAAAACAAAATAACACAACAACTAAATAAATTAAAATTCAACAAAATCCTATCGACCACGGCACGGCAACACGTCCGTTCCGTACAACGAGCGGCGAAAAAGTGTGCGAGCCGTTGCTTGAGGCTTGTTTATATAGCCTTCAGTGTGGCGGGTAGTAGAGCTTTTCTGATTTCCAACAATATATATGTAATAATTTTCAACGTAATCAATGTAATTTAAATCGAAAATAATTTCGATGTTAAAATTACCTTGATTACGTTGAAAATTATTAAATAATACTTTATAATTGTTATTTTACACAGACCTACTTTATACGGTATATTTTCAAGTAAAAAATGAAAATTTTTATGAAAGAAGGACAAACGAGCATAGGTTCACTCAACTAAGATGTGTTGTAAACATTAATTTTGCTACGAATATTGAGAAATCAAAACTGAAGCACAGTTATATTCTTAAAGACTACTATGACGACGGACTTTCAGAAAAATTATAAATTCATTTTAAATCATGCTAGACCGTCGAATTTGAACTTACGACCAGATGATTATTAACCCTATCTTGCTACCACTGGGCCACCGCGAAATTACTGAATTGAAAATGAGTATATTTAATCTAATCCTATATTAACCAGGTTTATATTGACACCGTTACTATGAAATAAATAATTCATAGAACTGAACATTTCCACGTCCATTCTAATTAAGTTCAAAATCAAATTAAGCCATATTAATGATAATTGAAATTTGATAATATTAGTTCTTGATATAGCCGTTATTATGTTTCACATGTTATTGCATATGCTGGTACTACATAGATTAAAGATCTATATTTGGAACAGAGAGATGCACAGTGATCCTTGGTACTGCTCTAACTAGTATTTATCTCGAGTCGAAAGTACTTCTCTATTATCTATCAAAGTTTTTACGAGCTCATTGGTGTAATAGTAGCAATGTATGCCTAAACAATGGCTCATGGGTTCGATTTCCACCGGGTCAATCAATTTATAATTTTCTGAAACGTGTTGGACTTCGTCTGGAAATCTGGATATTAAATAGGGTCGCGAATCACCATCAACCGATGAAATAACTGTCAAATTGAATCGCGTTTCGGTTCACCCTCGTCCAAAACAGTTGATTAAATGCACACAGCTTAAAAACTAGAAACACAATCTCCAGTCCAGTTAATTACAATTTCCCCGCCAACATCACATCTCGCGTAGGTATTATTTATTCATGTAAGTAATGGAAAATTAAAAAGCGGGCAATATTGCCGGCTCGTGCGGTATACGTTATTCAAGCTATACGACGGCGACACGTAAATCCCGAGCTTTTAATAAATTCTATTATAAATATGCGTCATTCTCTCAGCCGTAATCCAACTATACTTTTGGCGCAAGTGCAGTGGTTTATAAAGGGCTTAGAAAAGCCAGAAAGGTTACGGCGCCGTTTATTCAGAGCTATTGCGGACATTTTTCAAGCTGTAATTTTAATGAAACGAAGTCACTTGTAAAAGCTGTAATGGGTATCATTAAAACACAAATAATACTACTTATTGTGTGTTGCCAGTCATTGCCGTACTTAGTTATTCTACTGAATACTATAAGATTGTGTAGTGTAGTTTAATTTGGAGATCATTGAAAATTATGTTTATGCACACAATATCTTTTATATAATAATCTATTAATGGTTTTAAACTGCTGTGTCCCCCCGTGACCACGGTGCAAATAAGATAATGCATTAATAATATAACTAATTCGCGTTTAGAACCGCTTAAAGTGTTTTGTTTCTAAATTGTGTCCTAACTCGCATAAACTACACAGAGTACACAATATCTTGAAAAGTTTAAATTTAAAAGTTTAAGTCCGGTTCTTGTTAATTTTTTTTTAATCGAAAATACCTTTTTATTCTTGTACAATGTTTACGTTAGAAATGTGAAACGTTTAAATGCCAAATTGACACAGAAAGATATAAAAGGAAGCATACAATTTAAGGTATTAAATTTTTTGGCGAATTCATAAGCGACTAAAGATGTAGGACAGCCAGTGTCTATATTTAGGGCGTAACCATTCAGTGTCACTCGTTTCATTAGAGTGAACCTGAAAAATAAATTCAAACGCTTTGTTGTGCTTCCTTAATGAAAGCAAAGTTTCGACCACATTTCGTCGTCAGAAGTAGGTCAGGCGGGTAAATGAAGTATGCGGAAACTTCTTACCCGAACAGCAAAAGTCAATTGAACTGGGAAGTTTTTTAAAGTGCTGAAGCAACTACGAGTTTTTATATTGGTTTTTATCTTTCTCGTGTTTAAGATCAACTCGAGGGTACCAAGTTTCGAGGGATGAATGGATTGTCGTAAACCCTTTATGGTTGCTTTTAAAAAGTGAAGAAAGGGCATAAATTTAATAAGGCACACCTCACAACATCTCTAGTAGTGATAAGTTACGGAAAAGGCAATAATTTGCAAAAGTATAGTACGGTGTCGGACGTGGATCTCGCCAAAGATTTTATCAACCTACACTTTCTTTAATTCCTCACAGATTAACAAAACTTATATTATAAAAAAATATTTTAAATACCTTCTACCTAATTCACAAATTGTATATTAATATGAATCATTCATCAGTGCCATACGAGTCT